GTAAACAAAAACTTTTATTTTGGATGCGGTCAATAGCGTTTAATTGTTTGACAGCACTAGATTTAACACAAGTTTTGAAAACAGTGTTAGTTAAATGAAGGTATAAAACATTAAAAATGTAATTAATATTTTAAAATGTAATCAAATGATCATTCATTCACAAGGAGACATGTAGAACATGCATCCAAAATTTGCCAAATTCCATGACATTCCGCATTATACTGTAAATTAAATTTTTCTGTCTGGATTCTGTGATTCCGTCTCTGTTTTCTGCATTGTGTAAACCCTATGCCTTACACCAGACCAGCAAACACCTTTCAAAATGAGTATTTCCACCAAGTGCATTATAAAACCCTGCTGGAATCCTGAGTTTGTGTGTGTGTTTGTTTCTTTGTCGTTTTCCTAAAGATGTAGGTTTTCTTCTGATGGTCAGGCACCTTTAGGTCCTGTTTTTGCAGTTTGACTGAAGATTTTGAAAGGTTTTGTTTCTGTAAATAGAGAAACTTTTCTTATTTTCCTTCACAGATAAGCTTTCGGCTTGCAGGGTTTTAATGCTGCAAAGAAAAATGCTGCTTCTGTCCTACTTTTCATGTCTCCAATCATCAGGATTGACGCATTAAAAGGTGGGATGTATTTCCAAACTGCAAATCAGCCTGTCTGGAAGCGGAATTCGCCAATCACCGTCACAGAAAGTTTGTCGTTTTCCTAAATATGTAGGTTTTCTTCTGATGGTCAGGCACCTTTAGGTCCTGTTTTTGCAGTTTGACTGAAGATTTTGAAAGGTTTTGTTTATGTAAATAGAGAAACTTTTCTTATTTTCCTTCACAGATAAGCTTTCGGTTTGCAGAGTTTTAATGCTGCAAAGAAAAATGCTGCTTCTGTCCTACTTTTCATGTCTCCAATCATCAGGATTGACGCATTAAAAGGTGGGATGTATTTCCAAACTGCAAATCAGCCTGTCTGGAAGCGGAATTCGCCAATCACCGTCACAGAAAGAGTGTTAAACAAAAGAGACCAACTCTGAAAGTTAGAAAAGAAAAATGCAGAAGAGAAATCTTGTGTCTGCTGTCATGTGAAGCGCGGATGGCCTCAGGGTGTTCAGCGAGAGTTTTTAAGCTGCTCTCTTACAGTTGTCGGAAGATGCTGAGATAACGCACCCAGGGCGTGTTGTTAACGTCAGATTTAATAAATTCTGCTGACTACTTCCTGTTGCCCATGGTGCAGAAGTGATGTACTGTTATTTTTTTGTGCTGATTTGTCTTTTAAGAATCATTTGTAGCTCTTCTGTTTTTATCTTTGTGCATCCAAAAAAGAAAAGGAAAAAAAAAAGAGTCTCAAAAGTGTTGCTTTTTCATTTGTGTTTGCCTGAGAACGTTTTTTGCTTGCGTGTCAAAAATGCAAATGTTTAAACTTGGTGGGCGGAGTCTGCAGTTTGAACGAATGCAGGACCTGTTTCTATTGGTCTGTTTTCACTGGATTGACAGGACTTTTTCTTTTCTGTTGTGTGGGAGAGCGAAAAAGAAGCAAAACTCTTTGGCATAGTTAGGTTTTTGAATGCTTTCGATCACAAACGTCTGCAAGCAAAACTTTTTGAGACTCAAACAAAAAAAACACTTTGACAGAAAAAAATAATTGGTGTTTTTGTTGGCAAAACTTTATTTGGATGCACAGTAATAATATAAAAATAACTTATTTTTATAACCGGTTGGACTGTTCAATTTATGTGTGATGGGTGAAAATATAAAACATTAAATGATAATAATCTTGGATTTTCCTCTCTCCATATGTAAATGTGTTACTAAAGGGGTGATAATAATGCATGATTTATTTTATTTTTTATTTTTTTGTTTTTGGTGTCTGTATGAACTTTATTGTTTGAGATCAGTGTGTCTAATATATTTGGCAAAGTTTGTTATTGACATTTAAGCTTCAGTGTTTCACCTCTGATAATATGACTGATAATATTCTGCATTTATATTATGCTGTTATTAGTGAATGTCTCAGGCATTAAAATCAGTCTGCATCCTCAAAACATCAGATTACAGACCTTATTAGAGGTGTTTGATTGTTTGTTGAACTCCGGGGTATAAAAGGTGGAGAAAACATTAGATTTAGATTAGTGTTTTACATTTTTATAAATGTAATATAAATGGTATATGATTGTTGTGGTATTCTGGGTGGTTGCTAGATGTTTTTTTTTTTTAATAAGCTATATTATAAACTTGTGTATAAGTTTCACAACTTCTTTAGGCACACAGTTCAGCTGAGTTTATTATGAAATAGTTGAATCACTTAGTATGTTTAAAGGCTCACAAATGAATATTGAGTTTCAAAAAGCGCCCAGCAGTTTCCTCTCTTGTGAGTCTCCATTTAGCAGATCTGCTGCTGCTGCTGATGTAACTGTATGAAGAAACTTTAGGGCTTTTTTCTGGCAGAAATGCTCTTTCCGTTCAGCAGAGCCACTGGCATCCTCTCTGGCTGTGAATGCTTCTAGGAGCAGCAGTTAGCAAGCATATCAATTTAAGCCTTTCCTGGTGCCAGAATCTGTAATGCGGCATAAAACTACTGCAAAGGGGAGCCAGAATACTCTAATTGCTCATGTTTCACTACAAATGTGACAAGAGTAAAGCAATTAGCCTGTGATTTCTGAAAAGCTCGGAGTCTGGTAAGTGAAGGAGGTTCTGTGAGATCTGCTGATGGAGCAACGAGAGGAAGGACAGAAATAGCTGCGAGAATCCATGTTGTAAATGAACGTTGAGCCATATTCTGTTTATATTTATATATTTATATAATCATTAAGGTGTAATGCGTATGCAATGTTTCAAATATTCACAGTATTTTTATGATGTAAATATCTCGGTTATTTTAATGAGATTATATTTGTCCATTAGTTTCTTATTGATTCAAGGTTACGACTGGTGTTTTAACAGCGTCTTTGAATTGCACTGTAGTGTGACTTTGAATTCAAATGTTTGAACCTGAGTTTGATTCATGCAAACTGGCAAATTTAAAGCAAGTTGCTTTGAAACAATCTATATAAAAATAAAGGTGACTGGCAATTAATGCATTTGTTTGCTGCATCATTCAAAACTATTCATAGCATTTTTTTAAATACTGTACAGTGCTGCAACTAACAAATATTTTGTACAGTGACAGTAAGATTGTAATTTTGACTGAAATTTATGCTTTTGTCCTTCAAGGACCCATTAAATTGTCAGAAGTGAAAGTAACGACATTTATAATGTTACAAAAGATTGCTATTTCAAATAAATGCTGTTCTTTTGAAACTTTTTATTCATTAAAAAAATCCTGAAAAAAATATTGCATGGTTTCCACAAAAATATTATTCAGCATTAATAATAAGAAATGTTTCTTGAGCAGCAAATCAGCATATTATAATGATTTCTGAAGGATCATGTGACACTGAAGACTGGAGTAATGATACTGAAAATTCAGCTTTGATCACAGAAATATATTGCATTTTAAAATATATTCAAATAGAAAATGGTTACTTTAAATTGTAATAATATTTCACAATATTACTATTTTTACTGTATTTTTAATCAAATAAATGGAGCCTTGGTGAGCATAAGGGACTTCTTTCAAAACCTTATAACTGTCTATATAATACTGTACATCAAACTATTATTTTTTTAAAAAGCAATATGATAGAGACAGACGGAGTGATGGAAACATGTAAAAAACACCTGTTTTAGCACTTGTCTAATAAGACAGAGATCTAGTGATGTTTATGATGACACCTGTTTTTTTCCCTCAGCTCTGTGTTAATTGTCTGGGAGAAGCACATTACGCTAGATGACAGTAATTGTGTTGTGTACACTAACAGACACGCAATCAATACCCTTATTATAATCTACACCGCAAATAGGAGAGGTGGTCTCGTAGTGTGTGTGTGTGTGTGTGTGTGTGTGTGTGTGTGTGTGTGTGTTGTTTTCATCATTAGATGATGTTGTTCCTGAGAGATGAGGATCTGGGTGAGGGATTTATGTTTGGGTTTTCCATGAGGGTAAGGGAAAGGTTTCATGTTGTGTTTTTCTCTGCGTGAGACTACACAGAGTTTGTAAATTTGTGGTTCTGTTCTCAGAATAGCTAATGATTTATCTGGCCTATTTTAGCGTCTCTGGTCATTTACATTCAGATTCACACTTTTTTATCACCAGACTGTGTAAATATGAGACTTTATGAGGCGAGAAATCTTTTAAGCACACCAAAAACAACAGGCTTTTTCTTGTCAAAATTTATTTATTTTTTTTTCCCCATAAAGCTGTATTTCTTGTGTACTCTGCCTTCTTTTATATCAGCTTTCAAAACTGTAGTAATATCAAATTGTATTGTTTACAAGACATAAATGGAGCAGTTTTATAGGGGCTATATTCTGCTTGTTTCTTCCCTGAAGTGAATTTCTAATGTTTTAAAGGAATAGTTCACCAAAAAAATGAAAATATGCTGAAAGTTTACTCACCCTCAGCCCATGAAAGATGCAGATGAGTTTGTTTCTTAATCAGAACAGATTTGGAGAAATGTAGCATTACATCACTTGCTCACCAATCGATCCTCTGCAGTGAATGGGTGCCGTCAGAATGAGAGTCCAAACCAAACATCACAATAATCCATAAGTAATCCACACCACTCCAGTCCATCAATTAATGTCTTGTGAAGCAAGAAGCAGATCCATCAAGACGTATATAACTTAAAACTGACACTTCTGGCCAAAATACCACTCCATAATCTATAATAACACTTCCTCCGAAGAAAAGTCCATCTCCTGTTGTCCTCTCGCATCAGAATCCACCAACATATTTATATTCATATACTGTTTTGGCCTGTTTTCACTCTCCTGATTCTGATGAAAGCAATATTATGTATAGAAGACTCACATTTTTGGGCAAACTTTCCTTTTTAGGCCTCTTTGGACAGTAAAGATATTTTATGGTTTCTTAAAAAGCAATATTTGTGTTCTCTCATATGTCCGGCATTAGGCTCTGACCACCGGCAGCATCCCGGGCTTCATAGACGTGGTGATGAACCTGAACTCTCCAGCTCTGCTGGAGGACAATCTCATCTGGCAGGCCAAGAGTGCTGGCAAACGGATCATCTTCTACGGTGATGACACTTGGATTCGACTCTTCCCCAAACACTTCATGGAGCATGACGGCACTACCTCATTTTTTGTGTCCGACTACACGGAGGTGAGATGATTTCAACTCAAAGTTGTTTGACTCTTACCATTGTTCTGTAAATTTTCCCAGGTGAAATCAAGTAATGTCAATAGGATTTATCAAGACCGGGAAACTCATGTGAGGGCAAAAGATTTTCCACACAGATTTCGTAACAGGTTCAAGATGGTTTGAAAGTGACTTCAATGTGAGCTGTGCTTCATGTATCTCTACGCTTTTGACAACAGACAATGGAAATTTTGCTGAAATGTGTGACTGCACCTTTATTTGAGATCTGAACGTTATATTAGTAGCTTGCTTTCAATTAATGCTCTTCCTGAAGTGAGGAGAAAGTTTTGAATTCTTAACCCCATAAAGCCTGAGATTTGAAATAATAGTCATTTTTTAATTTTAACGTTTATTGAAACGTTATACAAAATCAAAAAAATAAATGAATCAATCAATAATCTACAAAGAAAAAGTTTAGATTTGTGTGGTGTTGTTTTTTTGAGCAACATAGTTGATGCATCAGACTTTTATGGCTCATATACAGTGCCGTGAAAAGGTTTTTGCCCCCTTCCTGTTTTTTAAATTTTTTGCATATTTGTCACACTTAAAAGATTCAGATCATCAAACCAATTTTAATATTACGCAAAGATAATGCAAGTAAATACAAAATGCAGTTTTTAAATGATAATTTCATTTATTAAGGGAAAAAAGCTGTCCAAACCTGCCTGGC